CATTCATTCTTATTTAGTTTACAGCCTATAGATTGGGTGCTTATTTTCATTTTCTCTGAAAATCTTCTCTGTCCTTTTATGCCTCCCACTTAGAACCACTTCACATCTAGCTTCCTGTAGTTAATACATCTCTTTCTGTTTTACCTAAAGCACTGTGTTTGCTTTAAGTGCTTAGGGCAACTGCTCAGCATACAAAAGCTGGTGTCTGAGTTCTCCACATTGAGGGAGGGATGGACGGGGTATAAACTGACACCGGCCAGGACAGTTCAGCTCAGAGTTTGGAGATTGGGGCTCTGGGAGGAATTGGCCGTAGCCTTTGTCTTGGTTCATAGGCGGGTGGGAGAAGTGTTCATGTAGCTGAGCTGAGTGTGTCCCTGCCCAGGCTGCCGACTTTGTAACTGCACAAAACCAAACACCTTGCTCTGTCCCTGCCCTACCCCTTCTCCAAGGCCCCGCCCTTTCTATGAGGCTCCACCCACCCTGCTCACTCCATCCCACTGCTCATGCCGTCCCTACAGCTCTCATTGGCCACAATTCCTGGCCAATGGGAGCTGTGGTGCTGGCACTTGGGGGGCAGCATGCTGAGCCTTCCTGGCTGCCCCTGCATATAGGGGCTGCAGGGACATGCAGGCCACTTCCAGGAGCCTCACAGAGTCAGGGTAGGCAGGGAACCTGCCTTAGCCCTGCTGAGCCAGCTCCAACCAGACTTTTAGTAGCCCATTTAGCAGTCCTGACCAGAGCTGCCAGGGTCCATTTTTGACCAGGCATTCTGGTTGCAAGCCAGACACCTGGCACCCGAGGCCCTGCCTGTGGATGTCTGTGTATGCACAGGACCTGGGTGGGGTTGCAGCTTGTCACAACATCACAGCATGAGGGAGCCAAGTTAGAGCTCAGTGGTACCCAGGCTGCATCCTCACAAATAATTTTTCCCCAGGTCAGATTGGCAGTGACTGTAGGGGGGAAGGGTGACAGAGAGCAAAGGAGAAGGGGGGAGGGGAAGGGCAGGGCAGGTGAGAGGGCAGAAGGAAGGGGGTGGGAAGGAGGGGCAGGGCAGTGACTTAGCTGTGGCAAGGTGTGAATACCAACTTAACTGAAGTGGAAACTGGAACTATTGCTGTTGAATTCTCGCTGTGGGACAGGGAATCTCTGGGCGGATGCTCCTGCCCCTGCAGACTGGCGGGCCCGGGCTGTAGGCTCACTTGCTCACCAGTGGGAAAAGGCACTTCCATAGAAATCCCAGGCCCTGCAAAAATGGTGCCCAGTCCATGGCCAGCAGTGAGCCAACAACCCAGTGGGGATACCGGGGCTGCAGGAGGAGCCACCTCCCAGCTGAGGTCCCATCTGTGTTACAATGTTCCAAGTGCCCGGGTCACATTCCCATAGGAAGAGCTACAGCAAACAGCTGCGCTGGGTCCCTGCCACCTGCACTCGCGGCAGAACCCAGGGCCCCGCTGTGTGGCTGCGGCACACGCCTGTATTAGCCTGCTGGCCAGAGAGAAGTAGCACAAGTGTTTCTACGTGCCAGGGAGCACCCTCAGGGCCACCCGCAGACACACCTGGAGGTGCAGAAAGTCAAGCGGGTGGGAGGCACGGGGCAGGGGAGGGAGAGGAAGGTGCTAGGTGGCATGGCCGCCAGCAAGCGAGAGGTGCTGGGGGCCAAGGGGAGATCTGAGGGGGGCTGCTGACATATCACTGTGGCTCTTTTGCAATGTACATTGGTAAAGTCTGGGGGTATGTCTACACTACCCCCCTAGTTCGAACTAGGGGGGTAATGTATGCATACCGAACTTGCTAATGAAGCCCGGGATTTGAATTTCCCGGGCTTCATTAGCATAAAGCTGGCTCCGCCATTTTTAAAAGCCGGCTTGTTCGAACCCCGTGCCGCGCGGCTACACGCGGCACGGGCTAGATAGTTCGAACTATGTAGCCATTCCGAACTATCTGTACACCTCGTTCCACCTCGTGGAGGTCTCTCGTTTTACAACAGGCTGCATAGAAAGCAGCAGAGTCCATAGGAGCCAAACTGTCATGCAGACAAAGTGGTCGTGGCCTGGGGCGCTCGGGGGTTTTCTGTCTGATTGGCAGGCAGGTGTACACAACTTGGGGTACACAAGACAAATCAGCCTCCTGACAGGGAAGGCTCAGAGTCACTGAGCTGGGGGTAGCTCTGAAAAAGCCGCCCAGCCGGTCTGGATCCAAGTGATGGTTCCTACAGTCAATGATCCTCATTGTTAAAAACTTGAACTTTAGTTCCAGCCTGAACGATGGGTCTTCACTGCCAGCCATTGGGTTTTGTTCGGCCTTGGAGAGATGAAAGAGCCTGCTGCTTTGAGAAAGGCTGCCCTGTGTGTGTCCTCATGGACTATGAGCAAGGCACCTCCTGCCCAGCCATTGGGGTAGTGTAAGTGGATGCGACTTCCGTTGTCTCTCGCCCTAAGGCAGGTTTTCCAGCCCTCCTAGACTCATAGACGGTGGGGCTGGAAGGGACCTCGGGGGCCACCTCGCCCAGGCCCCTCAGTTGAGGCAAGCCAAGGAAGCTTAGGCCACCCCCCAAATTGGTCTGGAAGTTCTTCTCTGAGCCCCTGGGTGGAGCGAACCCCCTGGGCCAGCCGCCCCTCAGGAGAGGGCATCAGAAAGCATGAGATGTTAAAAAATCCCACCTGGGGGATTGTTTATTTGCCTCTTTGTGTCTTTGGGAGGCGATTTCTCCAGCTTTTCTCCCAGCCTTTGGGGCTAGCCACCTATTTTTACACAAATTAAAAGCCGAGGGTCCCTTGTAATCCCCAGAGTCCGGGATCTGGGACTTTCAGAAAACACCCAATACCAGGTAGTGAGCTGGCCTCAGTCTGTGTGGTGGGGTGAAGGGCGACTATTTTAGCTGGGGGTGGGGAGGGGGAGGCAAGAATAGGTTCAGGTCCCACCTGATGCAATGACATGAGCTCCCAAGATAGGAGCCTCTGCTTGTCTCTCCATCCGTGTTTTGCAGGAGGAGGCCACACTAGATCAATGTTCCCTCTAATCGCCATCCATGTATGGAATAAATTTTACTTGCACCAATATATGTGCAGATGTGCACCACTAGTAGAGAAACACAAAACCCA